GGGGGGGGGGGGTCCGAATGTGACCATCTGGTGTTGTAGTCCTTGAGGCTCCGGATCATCCCTTTTTCTTGTCACTGGCGGTGGATACCAGCATGGGGGCTCTTTTCTGAAGGTCATTACATTCCTGGGAAAACTTAACAAAAAGTTACTGTCTTAACACAGTAGGGAGGTCTATGTATAAGCTAAGGCTGAGAAAGTAACAGCATGCATATTGCTCACAAGCAGGTGTAGACTTATCCAGGCTATGAGCAAACTAAAGCATTGCAGACTCAACAAAGGGGTGCCTTATGGATCAGGGTTATTTATAGCTCCAACATGGTTCCCTTCTACAAGATGGCTTCCCTTATGCTAACTTATGATAACCCATGACTACATATCTACATAGCCATTTAAGCAGGGCTAACAATACCAGACGCTCTGGTAATTTTAGTTCAAAATTAATTCTAAAGTTTTAAGAACCTACTCAGAGGCTTAAACGACCTGATAACTAGAATTCCTAGAGTCTCCTGAGGAGAACAAAATTGCTCTCCTGTGACGGGGATATGTACCAGTTTGTACTTTTTCTTATTTGTCACTGAAATAATTAACTGTAGAGTAAGCTCTTTTCTGCCATTGCTTAAGGATTTAAATCCAAGAGCACTTAGCTGAGAGAACCACTGTCGTCGAATAGCAGTGGGGACCTATTTGTAAATTGGACTGGACTCTATTGGCACTGTGACCCCCAAATTAAATAGATAGAGTTTCTGGCCACTGGTAGCTGACAGTCTGGAATGGAATGTTCGTGGATGAACAGCAAAGACAGGTATGTGTGAATTTTATTATAATAGAAAATAAATAAACATACAAAAAGAGTTCCTAAATCTGACCTGAACTTGTCCCTAAGATTCATCAAACATACTTTACAAAAAAAGCTGAGGTCATACATACTGTATGATTCTAACTATATGACATTCTGGAAAAGACAAAACAATGGAGACAGTAAAAAGATCTATGGTTGCCAGGGGTTGAGGGAGGAAGAGAATAGGAGGAGCACAGAGGATTTTTAGGGAAGTGAAAATATTCTTTATGATACTATCAGGGCGATACATGTCATTATACCTTTGTCAAGCCTCATAGAATATACAACGCCAAGGGGGAACCCTGATGTAAACTATAGACTATGGGTGATGATGATGTGTCAATGCAGGTTCATCAGTTGTAACAAACGTACCACTTTCCTGCTGGGATGTTGATGGTTGGAAAGGCTGTGCAAGTGTGGGGTTAGGAGATATACGAGAACTCTATACTTTCTACTAATTTTTCTGTAAACCTAAAACTGCTCTAAAAAAATAATCTGTTGAAAAAAAGACACTGGAGTAAAGCCTCAGAACATCCCATTTTCTTCAAATCCATCAATGAAATTCTAAATTGAATATTTGGCTTTATGTGTGGAGTTGAAAGATAATGAGTTGTCTCCTTATATTAGAGCAGCCCTCTATGTGGCATTAATGTCATCAGGGAGAAAATGAATCATATATTCCTAACTAAGGTACAAAATTAAATTATTCTTAGATATCACGTCTAATATTCAAGGAGATATTTATGCAAAGTTAGCTTGAAATAATTGGATTTACAAATTCTATGACTATATTTGTATTTCAAATCTGTTCCTATCCATACATACTTACAGTTAGTAAGCAAATAATGCAAGATATCCTAGAGGTTTTCAAACTCTCTGGTCTCAAGATCTCTTTGCATTCTTAAAAAAGATTGAGGACTTTAAAGAGCTTTTGTTTATACGGGTTATATATGTCCACATTTATTGTATTAAAAATTAAAACTGAGAAAAATTTTATATATGTGTTTATTAATTCATTTGAAAATAATAAACCCATTACCTGTTACTGTAAAGAACACTTTATGAATAATGACTACATTTTTTTAATTTAGTGAGAAAAGTGGCTTTTTTTTACATTTTTGCAGATCTCTTTATTATCAGGCTTAAGAGAGACAGCTGGATTCTCATATTCTGCCTCTGCATTCACTCTGTTGAGACATGTTGTTACAGCTAAAATATGAAGAAAATCAGCCCTCACACAAATTCAGTTGAAAAAGGGAAGATCTTGAAAACCCCTTAAAAGAGTCTTAGAAACCCCAAGGGTCCTCAGACCTCACTTTAAGAACTGCTGCCAAATAGCATTTTGTGTTTCGTTTATTTGAATATCGTGTATTCCCACACAAGAGTCTGCTAATGCCTGAAATTATAGCCCTTCACTTAGTCTAAGCTAAAACTCAGATTTGACAGCTCATATCAAACCATCCCAATTCTGAAAGTTTTTTCAAAGCTTTTACTATAGCAACTCTGATGAAATTGATATTCTTATTTGAAAACATTTGAGATTTCATTTATATCCCTCATTTCAAACTTTCTGGGAAATTCTGAATATAAATTGTGCCATCTGGAAAAATGAAACATTGGTATATAGTTATTAACCCAGTTTTAAGTGTACTTATAATGAATATGTGCATGTCCTTTTATATAAATAATTTAAAAAGGCACTTAAAATAAAAAAAAAAACAAGAAATCATAGTTTTATTTATTACCTAAATAAATACTAGGTTCTAAAGTGACTGCCTTGAGGGCCGGCCCCGTGGCTTGGCGGTTAAGTGCGCGCACTGTGCTGCCGGCGGCCCGGGTTCGGATCCCGGGTGCGCACCGACGCACCGCTCCTCTGGCCATACTGGGGCTGCGTCCCACATACGGCAACTGGAAGGATGTGCAGCTATGACAGACAACTATCTGCTGGGGCTTTGGGGGAAAAATAAATAAACAAAAAATCTTTAAAAAAAATAAATAAATAAAAAAAATAAAGTGACTGCCTTGAAATGAAATTTTAGGTATATAAGCTTTCATTTTTGCCACAAATAAAATAATGTAAGTCATACATTTTGGGTTTTTAAATACAGTTTTCAACTAAAAGAAACCAGGGCTTCTCAGAGGAATATCTGATTTCAGGTTTGGGGTGGGATATATACATGACGAGCATGGAATATCTTGTGCCACAAAGCGAGAAATCCATTCACAACAAATAAGTGTGTCAAAATGTCACAGAAACTAAAACCAAAGGGTCCTTTTGGTCAAAGAAGGGACAATTTGAGCATCAACAAAAGTAATGAATGCAGTTGTTTGAATCATATTGGATATATGAAAATCCACGAGGTCTTAGTGATGTTCCGGGCGGGGAGGCCAAAAACAAAAGCAAAAAAACAGAACAATTCATTAGACACTTTTGGCAGTAACTATGGCACTAACTCTTTATTCTAAAATTGTCAATTAAAAGAAAAGAATTAGAACTTATGTTGCCTTTCCTGTTTGAACTATAGTTCAGAAAACCAAATAGTTGTTGAGGGTAAGTTGTTTTTATAATAAATGTGAAAGAAATAATAAAATTGGAAAAAATGCCATTTAGCAATCCTTCATGAAATAAACGATTCAAGCAATAGTCATCGATGGATAAAATCATTACATGAAAAGTCGATGAGATACTTTACAGTGGAGATTAGAGTGTCACTACCTCAGCCTAATAATTGAAGTATCACTACAAGTGGGTCTCCAGACCTGTGCTTCCTGATCTAATGCCATCCAAAGCACTCACCACACCTATGAAATGTTGGTAAAACAAAGTTAAACAAAAATAAAAACAGTATCTAATCAAGCCTTAGAACTGGCTTCCGACTCCCAGGCTTAAGGAAAACATGAGGGTTAGAGGAACAAGTTTAAATGACACCACAAAGAAGGAAACTTATAAAACTAGAGTGTGAGACACTAGAGAACAACTGACATAGTCTCCACAGCAAGTTAATAACAGGACA